TATGTTCATTTCTATGACAATTTTGTTAGATCGCCCTACATTCTTAACAACTATTCGACAAGAAATGTAAATGTATTTGGTAATTAAGCAGTTAAGTCATCACCATTTGAGTCCATCTTTGTTCCCAGTTAAGGAAGTAAAGAATGCTTTAACATGATTCAGAAACGTCTTAATGTGCAATATCCGTTGTTTCACGTTGCTCATTAATTCCAAGTTATAATTACATGTATAGTTAACGCTGTTCATTGTTCTCGGACTGGAGAGTCAATTTTAATTTCGCATATTGTTCCTATTCAAACTCATTCCACTCTCATCGATGAACATGTATATCGAATTAGCTCATTCGGCTTACCTATTAATCAATCAAGTACGCATGTCACTCAGGTTATGAATTTGCCGGATTTCTTAGCCATTTCGGAAGCGAAAGACCAGTATATTGAATTCTCTTCAAAGGAGTTTCAAACGTGCTATTGTGAACATGAAAAACACTGTCCAATTTTCCACAGTCCGAAACGTAAAACGTCTCTTACATGCGCACTTGCTTTGTTTACTCAAAACACACAAGAAATAAAATCCTTGTGTGATATGAAATTTAGATTGAATGGACTGCGATCGATGGCTCTTGAAATCGAACCAGGCCTTAGTATTTTCAATTGCATAAAATTATTATATTAACTTGCAATTGTCGTATTGAGAAGCGTCCAGCTTGTCAGATTTGTATATTTAAAATTCCTTGCCATTTTGCGTTGAAACTTGATGAATTCGATATGGACATTAGCATTTATAATTGTCTGAAAACACAACTTCAAAATTATAACCAATTAACTTTTTACTCATATTGGATTTTTTTTAAGCTTTCCAAAACTAATATAACTTACCTTTGAAAATTATGCTTTTAAAAATTACACAATTATGACTTGATAATAACGTGACCATCCAAAAAAGGACAAGAAATTTCACGCTGATTTGCATCTTACTTCCCAGTGTATGAAAGAGCTTATAATGTTTCATAATTGAGATGATGGTCTCACTATTCTAATTTCCCGAGACTTGACATTGTCAGCCGGAAATCCTCTCACTGATTTTCATATTCAACCGGAATTCCATTCTTAATACTTACATTTTGATTTTTCTTCTTTGCAAATTCCCACCCATCACAGTCTACATATTTTTGTAAAGATTTATATCAGTGGTTTAAAAGCTTTTCTTCCCACTAGACAATATAATTGATAGGCCTCTAACAGTGTGGGGCAGCTTTCTCGTTACCTTTGACATAATCCATATGGCAGACAGCATCCTGTCCATCATATTAAAGCTACCTTAGCCTCGGAGTCTTTGCCATCTGGTATGATGTAGACAAATGCGACATTATATTTGTCCTAGTTAATATTTTTATACGTTATTTTTCATACTGTGATCAAGTGCAACAAGCAACTAACACTTGTCAGTACGGTACATTGAACACTTGAGATTATACAATGGTTTAGAATTTCATAGGTAATGGTATCCGATAAATACCCCAAGTTTTAAAGTCATATTAAGTTCTGTTTTCATATGAAATACATTCTGGTTCTTGTCTCTATTCTAACTACCTAGTCATCAGAGGCATATTCAGTCATATAGTAATACTCATTCTTACAACAATATTGTAACATATAAACATTGCCATAGAGATACTAATTGTATTCGGACTGTGTATCTCACATATTATGGGTAGCCGGTAGTTACATACTATACATTATTCTCCAGTTGCTTCTCCTTAATATTACTTGATAGAGTCAAGTTTCATCAGTGTTTCAATGTATTCCCTCAATCCCTCACATATTTATTTATGTTGCTCGTTGTCGTCTTTTACACCACAAAGCATTTCTTGAATGTTGAACCTTAATTGTTCATAGTCATATCGACGATTATAGATTACGTCCATACTTTCTATGACTGCGATCTTGTATCTCTTTATGTCTTTTCCATATTATGAATATGACCAGTAGGAACTGGATTACTGGAATTCAATTCGTATTAGTAGGCTACGTCAGTATCGTGGTTTGTCTTAATAAGCGTATTGTAGTTTGATCTTTTACCTCCATGGCCTTCTGTCCAGAAAAGATCGTTGTATTCCATGTTGATATATATATCCATATTTCACTATACTCTTTCCATTCACTTCCGGTTACAAATATGTTGGTTGTGGCTTAACACTGTTTTTCAAGTGTTGCAACTCCATCTCCGGCTCACGTTCTGTTAGGACGGAAGTCAAGCACTTCCTCCACTATCGTCGGTTCCCCTCCACCATCAATCATCTGACTCCACACGTGGTGACAACCACTATACGCCAGGCACAGTCGATCCACACGCCACACGCCATAAGACAGAGGGTTTCTATCATCGCCTTGTACACCTTCTTCTGACACCATCGTTCGACACGGTCGGTTGTTCGCAACATAAACGACGTCTACCAGTCTACTTGGGTGCGAACATTTTTCAACTTCCCACGAGGCTCCATCCCAAGATCATCATATGAGATCTTGCCAGGCTGTGTGCTACATCACTAACTCTTCGCTGTGTGTTCCATCTGACATTTCGTTGTGGAGTTCGGTACAAAATCCCGGAGAGCTCATGCTGAAACTTTTCCTGCCCAAGACAGTGCCAGTGAATTCGTTTGGGGACCGATGACAAGTGAATTTAGTGAATGATCAGACCAGATATGGTCATACGAAGTGACATTTAATCGTCTTTATTACCTTTATGAACTTTAACGGAATAGGATTGTATTGTATTGTATTGTGTTTTGTTGTGTTCATGCTTTGTGGTATTACGAAGTAACATAGGAGCCATTTTCTTCCCATTAACGTAAGTTAGTGTACCTTGGACATGTTTGCCAGTTTCGCGTTTTGTCCAGATTTCTCTCAAAATTCTCCTCATATCCAAGTCGAGTTCTGTGGTCCTGTATTGCTTCGCGTGTAGATTTGGTTGTCTTTATACACATCGCCTCCATGTACTCATGTTTACTTATTCAGAGCTGTGGGCAGCTCTTGTCCACATGCGGAGGATGTTATAAGGTTAAAATAGGCATCTGTGATACAAGAAACGTATCACAAATTCGTTAGTGAGGATTACGGTGATTGCATCAGAAAAGCAATGCTATTACGGCTTAGTAATAAAGTAAGGGATCAAACAACAGGATAAATCTTATTGACAGAACAGAGAGTCATTTTAGGTATTAATGAACAATGAATCATAGATGAGAGGTTTCAGTAATTTTCCGATCACGAGGCAAGACATGAGACCATGGAATGATGTAATTTTTAACAAATCAGAGGGATTGTATAGGGTCATGTGACAAGGGTGGAGCAGGCTCGAACACCTTAAAAAGATACCGTCAGCACTAGAAAGTGGTGCGGGTTACAAAGTCAGCAGAACGTTCGCATCGCGATCGATATCCATATCTGGTGAAGAGCTTGCCCCATCCTGTCCAGACCAAATGAAGAGAGGGATCGAGTAAATCTATGTGAGTATAAAACCTGGTGTTGAGTTATTCATTGTATGCCAGAGTGCCAGCACATGAATGAAATGTGTTCATTGAGGAGTTACTGTCGTCTGACCTCTCACTCCTGGACTTAACATCCCCATGGACCAAGCGAGCGTGTAACTTGAGCATACATCACGCCTGACAATGTGGAACGATCATAATTAATAGGTAACTGGGGTAGGGTTTACTAACACCCAAATCCCAGTTACGACACTATAAAGCACCCTTATGTGACGAGCGTAAAACTGCACGACGAGACGCGCGCAAAGCACTTAGAAGTTTTCGGTGTAGACGCTCGGAGAGAAACAGAAATTATTTTTGTAAAATGAGAAACAAATACAAAGCTTCATTTAGAAAATTCAAATCTAGCCTGCGTAATCAACGATTGAACAGATTGAATGATTCTATCCAGAATCCTGCTTGGTTCTGGAAACAAATTCGTTCATTTAGAAAGAGATCAAATCCTAAAAGTAATATTTCAAAATGTGAATGGATGACACATTTTAAGACAGTTTTTTTCTAATGATTTTGTTTTTCCAAGTGATGGCTGTTCCTTCGATGATGACATTATTTCTTCGAATGACCATGACACTGTTGATCAAATGATTTAGGAAACACAAATTTCAGTAGATAAGATAAAGAATGCTATACATAACTTAAAGAGCGGAAAAACAGCTGGTCCCGATAATATTATGATCGAAATGATTAAATGTTCTCAAGTCGAGTTAATGCCCTTCTTCCATAAGTGTTTTAATACTATATTTGAAAGTGGTTCGTTTCCAGAAAGCTGGTCCCGTTCAATTATCGTCCCTATACATAAAAAACGGGGCTCAAGACAATCCAGATAATTATAGAGGCATATCTTTAATGTGTGTTATTGGGAAAATATTTACAACTGTTTTAAACAATAGAATCTCAAACTGGTCAAATCTAAGAAACTTAATTCCTGAGTGCTAGGCGGCTTTTGGAAAAGATTATTCAACTACTGACCATATCTTTACACTATATGCAATAATGCAAAAGTGTCTATCGCGTAATAAACACAAACTTTATGTCTTTAAGAAAGCTTTTGACTCTGTGGATAATTGTAAAATTATGACACTGCTTACGAAAGTCTGGTTTACAAGGGAAAATGTATTCTTTTTTAAAATCTATGTACTTGAATATTAAATCATGTGTGTTGTGGTGATGATGTCACTGATTTTTTCGACTGTCCCATGGGAGTTCGACAAGGGTGTATTTTAAGCCCTATATTCTTTTCCTTCTTTATAACGGTGTGCAAATGTTCCCAGGTATGATTGAATTTTTTATTCTCATTTTTGCCGATGATGTAATTTTAGTGTCAGATACTATCTTCGGTCTACAAGACCAACCGAATACTTTGGAACGCTATACATATGAATGGAAATTATTTGTTAATTTTGAAAAAAACAAATATAGTTATCTTTAGAAGAGGTGGAACTGTCTCCTCTAAAGAAAAATGTTTTTTGAATGGGAAAATATTATTTACTGGTAATCACTATACCTATCTCGGACCAGTGGGAATGTGTGGGACTACATGGGACATATAGACCTGGGTGTAGAGCTGCGCCGATCAACGGGAAGGTGTAGGACTGCATGGGACATACAGACCTGGGTGTAGGGCTGGGCCGATCAATGGGAAGGTAGGACTACATGAGACATATACACCTGGGTGTAGGGCTGGGTAAATCAAATGGTGAGGTGTGAGAATACATAGGACATATAGTCCTGGGTGTAGCACTGGGTGGATCAAGGTGAAGGTGCAGGACTTCATGGGACATATATACAGGGTGTAGGGCTGGGTGGATGAAGGCGAAGGTGTAGGACTACATTGAACATATAGACCTGGGTGTAGCGCTGGGTCGAACAAGGGGAAGGTGTAGCAATACATGGGACATATAGACCTGGGTGTAGGGCTGGGTGGATGAAGGTGAAGGTGTAGGACTACATTGAACATATAGAGTGGGTGTAGGGCTGGGTCGAACAAGGGGAAGGTGTAGCACTAAATGGGACATATAGACCTGGGTGTAGGGCTGTGTCGATCAAGGGGAAGGTGTAGGAATACATGGGACATATAGGCCTGGGTGTAAGGCTAGGTCGATCAAGGGGGTGGTGTAGGACTACATGGGACATATAGACCATGGTGTATGGCTGGGACGATCAAGGGGAAGATGTAGGACTAGATGGGACATGTAGACCTGGGTGTAGGGCTGGGTCGATGAAGCTGAAGGTCTAGGACTGGGCAAATATATGGAGTAAAGTTCCCGAAACACAAGCAGGCTTTAGACAAGGGTACTCTACGATTCATCATATTTTTACTTTGCATGGTGTTATAGAAAAATGTCTAATTAAGAAAAGGAAAAAGTTATATGTTGCTTTTATTGATTTTAGAAAAGCCTTTGATTCAATTGACCGTTCTAAGTTATATACGCGCTTATTCAAATGTCGTTTACATGGGAAAATGCTAACAGCTATCATGAGTATTTACAGCTCGGTAACAGCTTGTGTTAGAAGTGATAACGGATATACTGAGTATTTTGACTGTCCAATTGGTTTAAAGCAAGGTTGTGTTCTTAGTCCTTTATTGTTTTCCTTTTGCATTTGTGAATTATCAGACGACATATCTAGATATGGTAAATATGGATTGCAGTTATTTCCAGACTTACTAGAAATCATGTTACTTATGTTTGCAGATGATGTTGTTCTTATGTCTGATACAATTCCAGGCTTACAGAATGAACTTAATATTCCACATAATTACACTGAAGACAAATATTATTGTTTTTAGAAGGGGAGGGCGCTTAGCAAGAAATGAAAAGTGGTTTCTAAATGCCTTACCAATAACAACATTAAATACTTATAAATATTTTGGAGTAATGATTTTATCAACATTTAAGATGAGAAATTGCATCAATGATTTAGCACTGAGGGGTAAGCGGGCTTTAATGGAAGTAATAACTAATTTAAATGGAATCGGAATAGTAGACCCCAGTGTGTATTTTAAGATATTTGATGCGCAGATACAGCCGATATTACTGTATGGGGCAGAAATCTGGGGAATACATAAATTGTATGAAATAGAAAAGGTTCATCTAACAGCTTGCAAATGTTTCTTGAATGTCAGCCCTCAAACACCTACTGCTATTGTACATGGCGAGTGTGGAAGATATCCTCTCATTATAAACCCTTTGTGTAAAACTTTAGAATATTGGTTAAAGGATATTCATATGCATCAAGAGAGAACTCCTTTGAAAGTGTAAAACATGCAAATGCATAACGATAACTGTGGATATAAGACATATGCTTCATATATACTGTGCATACAAAAATTTATAATCGAAATTTATCAAACCTGTGTAGACACATAAGGATTTAAACTCAGAGATTAGTGACATGTATCCAACATGCATGCACGTGCTACGTTCCGTGACGTCAGTGGGTTCGCCCTTGAGACGTGCAATACATTTTTGCACGTGCATTCCGGGAAAGAAAAACAGAGCAAATGAATGGCACACAATACTGACACTTTGGGAAGCTCAACTCCTGACCTTGCGATCGTTCAAAAAATTAAACGGCTATTGAAACGCATAGCATGCCAAGGGTCACGTCTGCACAACGTCATGAGGCCACTGGGATGGTCTGTGGGGGAATGTCTCAACGACAAGTGGCTGCACATTTTCACTGCCACCGGGACACCATTTCTGCACTGGTGAGACGCTACCAGAACACAAATGACGTCATCGATCGGCCACTTTCTGGACGTCCACGTGTAACAACGCCAAGACAGGACAGATGGATAAGGGTGACCCATCTTCGCCACGGGTTTCAGACTGCAGTGATGACTGCCCGAACCATCCCAGGACTTCGCTGTATCCACCCCAACACAGTTCGACAACGTTTACGTCATCACGGGATCAGACCACGACGTCACGACATACGGCCTATCCTGACACAACGTCATCGACAAGCTCGCCGAATGTGGTGCCGAAATCATGTCCGCAGACCCTTGTTTTAGTGGAGAAATGTTGTGTTTACAGATGGGTCCAGGTTTAACATTTCCCATAGTGATGGACGTCAACGTGCCTATAGACGCATGGGAGAACGTTATGCACAGGCCTGTGTCTTGGAGAGGAATCGCTTTGGTGATTGTTCAGGGCAACTTAACTGGTGTGGGCTACAGGGATCAGATTCTTCGACCTGTGGCAATTCCTTTTCTGCAACGTCATGGCCCTGGATTAACATTCCAACAGGACAATGCCCGCCCTCATACGTCAAGGGTTGCTATGGATTTCTTGTTCTCATACCCATTATTGGTCGTTTGACCCCTGTCCCGCTTGTGGACTCGTGACGTCATTGTGATAGACTTTTCAACTGAAATTCTCCCGACTTGTTATGGTCTCATGATCCCTCCATTAAAGTTTATATGTACCTTTGACATTGTTATCGTACTGTTATCAACTGGGATAATATTTTGACAATGCACAGTTTCTTTATGTGGCTAGTTTATTAGGGAAATACTTTTTTGACATGGATTTGGTTACGTCTGGATGTCTAAGTCAGTTGGTGATGCAGCTTCGTTTGTAAATAGATTCAAGACTGTTGCAATAAATATGTTTTTTCAATCATGGAATTGTACATTGAATAACAGTTCACGATACCGTATTTACCGAGAGTTTAAAAGTCTGTTAACTCCAGACAAATATTTATCATGTATCTTGGACAAAAAGTTTCGAAATATTTTGATCAAATTTAGATGTGGGTTATTAAGGTTAAAGTATAATGAGGGACGATGGTTAAATGTTGAGGTTGCAGAACGTAATTATCCATTTTGTAAGCTGGGTGTAGAAGATGATGACCATTTTATTTTTATATGTACTGAATATAACTCCTTTAGATTAAAATACTCACCATATGTATATCAGAAATAACCAAACTACTATAAATTTAAGTCCCTGTTATCAACAAATAAAGAAACACTTTTAAGAAATGTATATAAATATATCTTTCATGATTATAAAATCAGAGCAATAAAACTCTAATAAATTGTCTCTAAACCACACATTTTTCCAATATACATGTTTATCAAAGTGTGTATATATGTTTATATTAAATATTATATTCATACTGACAAGAAATGCATTTGAACAAATAACACGTGATTATTGATATGTACACCCTTTAAAGTGTATCCATATTTGTAAACAAATGTATGTATGTTGTATATGGGACTGTGGTCTGCATACGGAATAAAAAATACTTGACTTGACTTGACTACATGGGACATATACACCTGGGTGTAAATCTGGGTCGATCAAGCGGAATGGGGAGGACTACATGGGACATATAGACCTAGGTGTAGGGCCTGGTAGACCTGGGTGTAGGGTTAGGTCTATCATGGGGTTGGTGTGAGAATACATAGGACATATAGACGTGGGTTTGCAGCTGGGTAGAACAAGGAGGAGGTGTAGAACAAGCAGGGACATATAAACATGGGTGTAGGGCTGGGTCGATCAAGGGGAAGGTGTAGGACTACATGGGAAATATAGATCTGGGTGTAGGGCTTGATAGGCCTGGGTGTAGGGCTGGGTCGAACAAGTGGAAGGTGTAGCACTACATGGAAGATATAAACCTGGGTATAGGGCTGGGTCGATCAAGGGGAAGGTGTATGACTACATAGGACACATAGACCTGGTTGAAGCGCAGGGTCGAACAAGGGGAAGATGTAGCACTACATAAAACATATATACCCGGGTGTAGGGATGGGTCGACTAAGGGGAAGGTGTAGGACTACATGGGACATATAGACCTGGGTGTAGGGTGGGTTAGATCAAATGGGAAGGTGTGAAAATACATAGGACATATAGATAAACCTGGGTGTAAATCTGCGTTGATCAAGGAAAAGCTGTATGACTACATGGGACATGTAGCACTACATGAATTATATACACCTGGGTGTAGGGCTTGGTCGATCAAGTGGAAGTTGTAGGACTACATTTGACATTTAGACCTGGGTGTAGGGCAGGGTAGATCAAGGGGTAGGTGTAGGACTACATAGGTCAGATAAACCTGGGTATAGGGCTAGGTCGATCAAGGGCAGGGTGTGTGACTACATGCGACATATAGACCTGGGTGTAGGGCTGGATAGATCAAATGGGAAGGTATGAGAATACATATGTCATATAGACCTGAGGGTAGGGCAGGGTCGATTAAGTGGAATGTGTAGAATTACATAGCACATATAGACTTGAAGGTGTAGCACTACATTGACATATAGACCTGGGTGTAGGAGTGGGTAGATTAAGGGGAAGGTGTGGGACTACATGGAACATATAGACCTGGGTGTAGGGCTGGATCGATAAAGGGGAAGGTGAAGGACTACATGGGACATACAGATCTAGGTGTAGGGCTTGGTCGATCATGGGGAAGGTGTAGGACTACATTGGACATTGAGACCTGGCTGTAGGGTTGGGTCGAGCAAGGGGAAGGTGTAGGACTACATGGGACAAATAGACCTTGGTGTACTTCTATGTTGACCTGGATTGTAGGGCTGGGTCGATAAAGGGGAAGGTGTAGAACTACATAGGACACATAGACCTGTGTGAAGCACTGGGTCGATCAAGGGGAAAATGTAGGACTACATTTGACATTTAGACCTGGGTGTAGGGCTTGGTAGATCAAGGGGAAGGTGTAGGACTACAGAGAACATATAGACCTTGGTGTAACGCAGGGTCGAATAAGGGGAAGGTGTAGCACTACATAGGACAAATCAACCTTAGTTTACGGCTGGGTCGATCAAGGGGAAGGTGTAAGATTACATAGGACACATACACCTGGGTGAAGCGCTGGGTCGACCAAGGGGATGGTGTAGGACTGGATGTGACATAAAGACCTGAGTGTAGGGATGGGTTGATTGAGGGGAAGGTGTAGGACTTCATGGGACTCATAGACTTGGATGTCGAGCTAGGTCGACCAAAGGGAAGTTGTACGACTACATGGGACTATAGACCTGTGTGTACGTTTGGGTAGACCTGGATGTAGGGCTGGGTCGATCAAAGGGAAGGTGTGAGAATACATAGGACATATAGACCTGGGTGTAAATCTGGATAGATCAGGGAAAGGGTTTCGAACTACATGCGTCTTACACACGTGGGTGTAGGGCTGGGTCTATGAACGGGAAGTGTAGGACTACTTGGGACATGTAGACCTGGGTGTAGTAATGGGTCGAACAAGTGGAAGGTGTAGCACTACATGAATTATATACACCTGGGTGTAGGGCTGGGTCGATCAAGGGGTAGGTATAGGACTACATAGGTCAGATAAACCTGAGAATAGGGCTGGGTCGATCAAGGGCAGGGTCGAACAAGGGCAGGGTTTGTGACTACATGCGACATATAGACCTGGGTATAGGGCTGGGTAGATCAAGGGGTAGGTGTAGGACTACATAGGACATATAGACCTGGTTGAAGCGCAGGGTCGAACAAGGGGTAGATGTAGCACTACATAAAACATATATACCCGGGTGTAGGGATGGGTCGACCAAGAGAAAGGTGTAGGACTACATGGGACATATAGACCTGGGTGTAGGGTGGGTAAGATCAAATGGGAAGGTGTGAGAATACATAGGACATATAGATAGACCTGGGTGTAAATCTGCGTAGATCAAGGAAGAGGTGTAGGACTACATGGGACATATAGACCTGGTGTAGGGCTCGGTTGATCAACGGGAAGGTTTGGGACTACATTGGAAATTTAGACCTGGGTGTAGGCTGGGTCGATCAAGGGGACCGTGTAAGACTACATGGCACATACAGACCTGGGTGAAGGGCGGGTTAGATCAAATGGGAAGGTGTGAAAATACATAGGACATATAGATAGACCTGGGTGTTAATCTGCGTAGATCAAGGAAGAGGTGTTGGACTACATGGGACATTCAGACCTGCGGGTATGGCAGGGTCGAACAAGGGGAAGGTGTAGGACTACAGAGAACATATAGACCTTGGTGTAACGCAGGGTCGAATAAGGGGAAGGTGTAGCACTACATAGGACAAATCAACCTTAGTTTACGGCTGGGTCGATCAAGGGGAAGGTGTAAGATTACATAGGACACATACACCTGGGTGAAGCGCTGGGTCAACCAAGGGGATGGTGTAGGACTGGATGTGACATAAAGACCTGAGTGTAGGGATGGGTTGATTGAGGGGGAAGGTGTAGGACTTCATGGGACACATAGACTTGGATGTCGAGCTAGGTCGACCAAAGGGAAGTTGTACGACTACATGGGACTATAGACCTGTGTGTACGTTTGGGTAGACCTGGATGTAGGGCTGGGTCGATCAAAGGGAAGGTGTGAGAATACATAGGACATATAGACCTGGGTGTAAATCTGGATAGATCAGGGAAAGGGTTTCGAACTACATGCGTCTTACACACGTGGGTGTAGGGCTGGGTCTATGAACGGGAAGTGTAGGACTACTTGGGACATGTAGACCTGGGTGTAGTAATGGGTCGAACAAGTGGAAGGTGTAGCACTACATGAATTATATACACCTGGGTGTAGGGCTGGGTCGATCAAGGGGTAGGTATAGGACTACATAGGTCAGATAAACCTGAGAATAGGGCTGGGTCGATCAAGGGCAGGGTCGAACAAGGGCAGGGTTTGTGACTACATGCGACATATAGACCTGGGTATAGGGCTGGGTAGATCAAGGGGTAGGTGTAGGACTACATAGGACATATAGACCTGGTTGAAGCGCAGGGTCGAACAAGGGGTAGATGTAGCACTACATAAAACATATATACCCGGGTGTAGGGATGGGTCGACCAAGAGAAAGGTGTAGGACTACATGGGACATATAGACCTGGGTGTAGGGTGGGTAAGATCAAATGGGAAGGTGTGAGAATACATAGGACATATAGATAGACCTGGGTGTAAATCTGCGTAGATCAAGGAAGAGGTGTAGGACTACATGGGACATATAGACCTGGGTGTAGGGCTCGGTTGATCAACGGGAAGGTTTGGGACTACATTGGAAATTTAGACCTGGGTGTAGGCTGGGTCGATCAAGGGGACCGTGTAAGACTACATGGCACATACAGACCTGGGTGAAGGGCGGGTTAGATCAAATGGGAAGGTGTGAAAATACATAGGACATATAGATAGACCTGGGTGTTAATCTACGTAGATCAAGGAAGAGGTGTTGGACTACATGGGACATTCAGACCTGCGGGTATGGCAGGGTCGAACAAGGGGAAGGTGTAGGACTACAGAGAACATATAGACCTTGGTGTAACGCAGGGTCGAATAAGGGGAAGGTGTAGCACTACATAGGACAAATCAACCTCAGTTTACGGCTGGGTCGATCAAGGGGAAGGTGTAAGATTACATAGGACACATACACCTGGGTGAAGCGCTGGGTCAACCAAGGGGATGGTGTAGGACTGGATGTGACATAAAGACCTGAGTGTAGGGATGGGTTGATTGAGGGGAAGGTGTAGGACTTCATGGGACACATAGACTTGGATGTCGAGCTAGGTCGACCAAAGAGAAGTTGTACGACTACATGGGACTATAGACCTGTGTGTACGTTTGGGTAGACCTGGATGTAGGGCTGGGTCGATCAAAGGGAAGGTGTGAGAATACATAGGACATATAGACCTGGGTGTAAATCTGGATAGATCAGGGAAAGGGTTTCGAACTACATGCGTCTTACACACGTGGGTGTAGGGCTGGGTCTATGAACGGGAAGTGTAGGACTACTTGGGACATGTAGACCTGGGTGTAGTAATGGGTCGAACAAGTGGAAGGTGTAGCAGTACATTGAAGATATAAACCTGTGTGTAGGGCTGGGTCGATCAAGGGGAAGATGTAGGAGTATATAGGACACATAGACCTGGGTGAAGAGCTGGGTCGAACAAGGGGAAGATGTAGCACTACATGAATTATATACACCTGGGTGTAGGGCTGGGTCGATCAAGGGGTAGGTATAGGACTACATAGGTCAGATAAACCTGAGAATAGGGCTGGATCGATCAAGGGCAGGGTCGATCAAGGGCAGGGTCGAACAAGGGGAAGATGTAGCACTACATAAAACATATATACCCGGGTGTAGGGATGGGTCGACCAAGGGAAAGGTGTAGGACTACATGGGACATATAAACCTGGGTGTAGGGTGGGTAAGATCAAATGGGAAGGTGTGAGAATACATAGGACATATAGATAGACCTGGGTGTAAATCTGCGTAGATCAAGGAAGAGGTGTAGGTCTACATGGGACATATAGACCTGGGTGTAGGGCTCGGTTGATCAACTTAGAGGAAGGTTTGGGACTACATTGGAAATTTAGACCTGGGTGTAGGCTGGGTCGATCAAGGGGACCGTGTAAGACTACATGGCACACACAGACCTGGGTGAAGGGCGGGTAGGAAGAGGTGTTGGACTACATGGGACATTCAGACCTGCGGGTATGGCAGGGTCGAACAAGGGGAAGGTGTAGGACTACAGAGAACATATAGACCTTGGTGTAACGCAGGGTCGAATAAGGGGAAGGTGTAGCACTACATAGAACAAATCAACCTTAGTTTACGGCTGGGTCGATCAAGGGGAAGGTGTAAGATTACATAGGACACATACACCTGGGTGAAGCGCTGGGTCAACCAAGGGGATGGTGTAGGACTGGATGTGACATAAAGACCTGAGTGTAGGGATGGGTTGATTGAGGGGAAGGTGTAGGACTTCATGGGACACATAGACTTGGATGTCGAGCTAGGTCGACCAAAGGAAGTTGTACGACTACATGGGACTATAGACCTGTGTGTACGTTTGAAATTGTAGACCTGGATGTAGGGCTGGGTCGATCAAAGGGAAGGTGTGAGAATACATAGGACATATAGACCTGGTGGTAAATCTGGATACATCAACAGGAAAGGGTTTCCAAGAACTACATGCGTCTCTACACACGTGGGTGTAGGGCTGGGTCTATGAACGTGAAGTTTGGGTTTGGGACTACATTGAAATTTAGACCTGGGTGTAGGCTGCAACATCAAAGGGAAGTTTGGGAGCCTTGGTGTAGGGCAGAACTAGATCAAATGGGACCGTGTGGCATAGAAAATACATAGGCAACTTGGTGAAGGGCAGGGTTAGATCAGGACCGTGTAAAGACTACATGACACATACAGACAGCTTGGTGAGAACATATAGATAGACCTGGGTGTTAATCTGCGTAGATGAAGATCAGGAAAGAGGTGTTGGACTACATGGGACATTCAGACCTGCCGGGTATCGCAGGAGTCGGGCAAAAAGGGAAGGTGTAGGACTACAGAGAACTATATAGACCTTGGTGTGGCACGCAGGGTCGAATAAGGGGAAGGTGTAGCACTACATAGGACAAATCAACAATGGTTTACGGCTGGGTCAAATCAAGGGGAAGGTGTAAGATTACATGGGACACATACACCTGGGTGAAACTGCTGCCTGGGTCAACCAAGGGGATGGTGTGCTAGGACTGGATGTGACATAAAGACCTGAGTGCAAGGGATAGGTTGATTGAAGGAAGATTGTAGGACTTCATGGGACTCATAGGCTTGGATGTCCCGAAACTAGGTCGACCAAAGGGAAGTTGTACGACTACATGGGACGGCTAGAACCTGTGTGTACGTTTTGGGTAGACACCTGGATGTAGGGCTGGGTCGATCAAAGGGAAAGGTGTGAGAATACATAGGACATATAGACCTGGGTGTAAATCTGGATAGA